ATTGTTGCTCACTTTCCCCTAAATATTTTTATACTTTCTTGTTTCTCTTCTTGTCATCCTCCCTTCCCCCTTCCCATCCGTCTCCCATCGGCAGGTCATCAATGTCATGTATCAAAAACAACAATCAAAGTGATGGATACGTATTGAAGAGCATCCATCCATTTTCTGTATATGCGCAACACTTCAGAGTTTCCTTTTTCTTTTTTTTTTTTTTTTTTGCAAGTTTCAAAATTACCAAAACCTAATAAATATTGTAGACCAAAACACTTCGGCGCGTTGTATCTATCAATTGAATCGTCATCATTCCGCAGCACTTGGTTTCACAATGTTGTTGACCGACTACAATTTCACGACTAAACAAAGCTTCAATGAAAGTGTTGACCACTGTCATTTTTAGCTTTTAAAATTCTAATTAATTTTCTATTCATCTCCCCTCACTAATGTCTCCTGTAAGCTATGATACTAACAACAGTGATTCACCACTGAAGGTATATTTCTTGGTATGCTTTACCCTTTTTTTCTTTCTCGTTGTTACTTTGCATATTGCTTTTAAAGTGCTGTGCTTATTAGTGATTGACAATTTTGCTTCAAATGCCCACAGGTTTATTAGGTTTTATTTCAAAAAAATGAAGAAAAAAAAAGCTGTTTTTACGTCCCACCTGCATTTGTCGTCAACAAGTTTCATGGGAGTAATAAACGGCTACTTATAAAATTGTTTAGCGAACCAAAAAAGGGAATTTACATCTGTGGAACCACTGTTGTTAAAGTTGCTGTAATTGGGGGCATTCTGTCTCCTGCAATCAAGTGCATATATAAACAACTGGTGTACCCAATTTATCTGTTCCAACCTTGGTATTGCTCTGCTGGAGAGATGTTGTTAACACAGAAAAAAATCGAATATATCTAAGCGCACGGATTAGATGCAAGAAAAAAAAGACTGAATAAGACTAGGCCTTCTATGACCATTGTAGGCGTCAAAGTTCAAAACTTGATACATATTGGCCTTGGGAGCTAGTTAACTTTAAGGGTTCGGTCACAGATGGCGTCTTCATTTCTGTTAACTTTCTTGTTCGTACGATTTGTTTAAGTGCTACTCTATTTAACCATTTTTAAATACTTTTGAACCCATTAACTTTGTCTCAGATTCTGTAAAATTATGGCCCGTCTAATGTTTCATTTGCCTTTTTTTTTATCTTAACTATTTTTTCGCCTTTTACTAGACTTCTCTATCCAATTGTACTACAGCGGTCTGTTCCACTAAGTACTCTAAGTTAATGTACACATAAATTGAATTAGCAACGTCTAGGATTCAGAAGTTAGCATCAAGTTATCAGTATGCAGCTGCAAATCAAAAATGAGACAAAGAAAGTGTAATTTAATTATGTTACTAAAGATTTTCACCTACACATTTTTCACCTACATCAGCAACTTTACAGTTAGCTATTTTCACACCGTGATGCAGCTAAAAGGCAAGAGCAGAAAAACAGTGAAAAGATCAACACGTTAGCACTTCTACCAAAAGCTACACTCAGATATCTTTTAACTATTTTTTAGTTCGTAAAACTAACTGCTTCAAGTGGCTGCTAGTGTCAGCGAAAGTGGTAAAATTGATATGTCGTCAGATAGATTGGTTAAGTTTAAGGCAGCCGTTTACCAAAGCTACCAAAGATGACGATACAGATATGATAACCTGTGGGACTTAATTTAGTTAACTTATTTGTACATGTTACTGTACTGTTGTTTCATTTACCTGCAGTTCTGTTATTCACTGTTGACTAATTTCCTGGTCTTGTTATATCTTTAGTTTTCGGCTCTACCGTCAAGGACAAATATTTGTTTTTTCATCGTGTTCTTTCCCGACCTTACTGCTTCGTTTATGCCAATATCCGACATTTAATGCTAACGTTTTAAAATTCGTCATGACAGTAAACAACCATTCTGCAAATAATTTCCATCGCTTTATTATG